ACCCGCGCGCAGCCGGGCCAGATGGCGGACCCCGGGGTGCGGGACTGCGGCGCCCCCAGAGGACGCTCTCTGGCCAGGTCGTGACTTTCGGGTTGGGGGTGGAAGCTACTAGTCGGGACTCCTGCTGCTGTTAATTGTTTTTTCATTTCCGTGTAAGAGTTAGCTGCTAACCTCATTACCAGACATTGTCCCCTTTGCTTGGTGTTTTTTTTTTTGTCTCTTCAGAACGTCCAAAAAAAAAAAAAAGCCTTTAAAAATAGAAAGAATGGTTTATCTCGGCGGTGGATCCTCAGGACACAGAGTAGGTGAGGAGGAGGACGCTGTGAACAGAAGTAGATTTTACTCCTTATCTCTTTCTCTTCCTAGTACCCTACCTGCCCCAAGCCTGGAGGTGCTAGTACCTTCCTAAATCCTTCAGGACACTCAACGCAGAGTGGCCAGTCCCCACATCGCTACGTGTGGTGGTGAAGGGAATTTGCACAAAGTATCACTGTATGGTAAGTCACGAAGTTTACTAGGATTTGTGGACGCTCTGACAAATTCTTGGGTCAGATGAGGCTCCTGAGGCCCTCCCCACACTGTTCCGGGTGTCTCAGTCTTAAAAGGCACAAATTGATACTCTATTCTTGTGCAGTGATATCCAGGAGAAAATAATGGCCAACACACATGGAATTTGGATGTTTTCAGTAAGTAAAAGTTTAAGAGAGAAAAAGGGGTGTCAGGCAAAGCCAATTTCACTTTACTCAGTGCCCCCCAAATAGTGGCCTGGGGCACTGGCCAACCTTCAGGTGCTCCCAAGTTGTATGTACAATTCAATGGCTGTGGGGCCGGGTGGCACATTTGTAGTGAATTCCAAGATTCAGGTTTAGAGTGTTAGATGAAGGCTTCACATAAAGTGAATTTGTGTCTCAGGTCCAGGGTCCAGCCCCTCAGAAGCAAAGCAGCTCTTGTAAAGCAAGAAACAATTTCCCAGAAACTTCTCCCACATAGTAGGATGGCCCCACTCACAGAGCTTCAGAGCAGAACAGAATGTTCTAGGAAGGAGTAGGCCATGATTTCTTGTATAGCATGTGTCAGAATTAGTAATATCACCATGTCCGGGAGCCATCACAGGCTTTGTGACTACGAAGCTATAGGCCAGTGTACAGAAGGTGACCGTCTGAGCTTGACGAGGATGGACGACGCTCAGGCTGAACAGTCAAGAGTCACCTTAGTGGAGGCCTGGTGAGGGCATGGTATCTGGGGAGAACAATCAGCTGGTGAAAATCCTACACAGCATCCCATTTCCCTCATTTTCCCCTCACTCTCGACAGATTCTGGGCCACTCTCCCAGGTGCGTCACCACGTGTGGCATTTAGATGTATGCTGTTGCTCCTTCATTAGTGAACCTAGAGAATAACAAAATGATCGTAGAAGAATTTTTCTATAACAGCAACCCAGAAATACTGCACTGAAATGAAAGACTGTTGTAGAGTCATCAGATAGGAGAGGACCAGGTATTAAGCACAGTGATGTCAGTGGTAAGTGCCATAGCTTTTTATACAAAGATGTTTTTTTAGAAGAGACAAGTAATTTAGAGAGAAAGTTTAAAAGTGTATTTCTTGCATAAAACAGCTCATCTTGAATTCAGTTTTCTGTGGAAATTCTAACTCGGGGTGTAAAGGCAGTAAGAACTTCATAAGCCAATCTAAGCAGGTTTTGTGACATTAGTTTTAATGAATTTGGGGAGTTTTATTTCTTTTATGGCTGAGCATGTTTAATCCTGTGATGTTTTATTTGGTCATTCATTGTTAAAACCTTGATGAAAAAGCACTTTTGCCTTACTAATGACAATACAGACCTACACAGTTGTGTCAGTGATGCATAGGTTTTGGTGCTGCTACCTCCCTGTGGTCCTTCCTGACCCTTCTCAAGACCCAAAGGGATGTACCCCCTTGGGAAGCCTTTTAATCCAGCTGATGTGATGAGATTTTTAGGCAGGTAAATATAGAAAATACAAAGCAGAACAGGTTTCTCATGGCCCCAATTCTCTGTCTGCCTCCCCAGCTGAACCATCACAGTTCCATACACTCTTCTGGCAGCTGGAGAAATGAACGTATCTCAGGTAAGATCAAGTTTTAATAAGCACCTTGTTTTCCTGTGTGGATTTTATAAAGGATGCTAGATCTGTACATCCACATGGAAAAATAGAAACAAAAATGAATTAAAAACCTTCGTAGAAGGTATAGATAGGTACAGGAAGAGTGGAGTCCAAAGTAGCATGTGTAATAGATGTTATTACAAATTTACCACAGTGAGCTCTGAATTTCTTTCTGAGTTAATTTGTTAGCGATGGGGGAGAGTGTTAGAGAAACAATATTTAAAGATGTACATCAATGAGAAAGTTAAGTCAAATAGCCTGCTTCCTTATGGTATGTAGAAGATAAAGTAAATATATTTGTTGTTCTTTTAAGTAGGAGATTTAGGTGCTACACTAATGTAGAATGTTGTCTCCATTTGTTCCTCAGTACAACCCATAAACAATGATAAATGCAAACATGGCCAAGAGTTTTTTTTTTTTTTTTTTAACAAGAACTCAAACAAGTGTTGAATTAGATCTATTTCAGATGAAAAATTTACCCTGCTTAAATGCTCTCCATCAATTTTTCAATACTTGCAATACTCAACTTGCTCAATAGTTTAAAGTTCCGTTTTCTTTCAAATACTTTCACGCTTTGCATCCAGCTTCAAATCTTTGTGATGGTTTGGTTTCTCTTCTCATTTGCATATGATCTCCAGGACCCTGACTGAACTATAATAAAATCTAATGGGTGTTATCTTAGCCTTTTTGTACTTAACTTTTCTACAGCCCTTGCCTTACTTCTTCCTCTGTTCTGGAACTTTCCTCTGTCAGTGACTCTATCCACTATCCCTGTCCTTCCCTGCCAATACCTTCATTAAGCATCTTGTTTTTCACATGGTCAATGTCCGTCTTCCATCCTTGACTATTAAATCTTCTCTGTTGTCTCTAGTAATTCATCTTCACTAATTTTTTAAAAGCTTTATTGAAATTCAGCTCTCACACTGTACTGTTGACCCATTAAAATTCTGGAAGTGAAAATAAATAAAGAAATAAAAGTATGCAAGTCAGTGATTTTCAGTATATTCTCAGACATATGCAGACATCACCACAATTTTTGGACGTTATAAAGGATTCCTGGAAAACATACTCTATATACTTTAACTCTTAGTCTGTTGTCCCCAAGTTCCAGACAACCCTTAATCGGCTGTTGGTAGAGTTGCTGAGCCACACTTTATTAGTTCTTGTGGAGCAGTTTTGGTTGTGATGAATTCTCTTGATTTTTGGCCATCTGGGAAGGTTTTCTTTTTCTCTTTTTGCTGGATGTAAAGAATTCTTGGTTGAAAGCTTCATTCATCCCTTTGAATATTCCATTCCCCTACTTTTTGTCATCCATGAATTCTCTTTAGAAATAAGCTTTAATGGGATGAGTAATTTCTCTCTTGCTGCTTCCAAGTTTGTCTCTTTGTCCTTGCCTTTTTAACACATTATCTTGTATCCAAGTGTGGATCTCTGAGTCAGAGTTCATTCTTCCTGAAGTTTATTGACCTTGGGGGGGGTATTAAATTATTTTCAAAATATTTAACAACTACTTTGCCATTGAATCTTCAAACATCGTTTCAGATTCTTTTTGTCGCTCCTCTCTGTTTGAGGCTCTCATTGTGCCTCTTGATAAACTTTGGCTGTCCCCCAGTTCCATTATTTTGTCCTCATTTTATCTTTGGGTCTTACACTGGGTATGTTGATGTGTTTTGTGCCTCAATGGATATGTTGTGCAGTTGGTTTGTTCTTTTTCCCACTTGCTCTTACCTGCTGTTGAGCATACTTTGCATGCGAGTTTTCTTTCAGTTATTGTACTTTTCAACTCTACTTTCTACTTGGTTCCCTTTTATAATTTCTGCGTCTTTCTTGATACCCTGTGTTTGGTGAGATTTTTGTTCTCATACTCTTCTGGGGTCCCTGGACATTCCTCTTGGTCCTTGACCATATTTTAAGTAGCTGATTGAATGTCATGGTCTGGCCAAGTCCAGTATCTTTCCCTAGAAGTGCTTTATATTGATTACGTTTTTCCTTGAGATGAGCCTTAAGTTTGTTTGTTTTGTTTCATAATTTTCTGTTGAAAACTATAAGTTTTGAATAAAGTAATGTGACAACTCTAGAAATCAAGGACTTCTCTACACAGGAAGAAGTGTTATGTATTTATGAATGTATTTTATCTCCTGATTTCTGTTTATGAATTTCAGTCTTTTTCTTTGTGTGTGTAATTTGGGATGTTTTCAAATATATATTTTATTCATGAATCTTTCCCATAGTAGATTTTAATGTGCTGCTGTTGTCACTCACTAACTTTCCATATCAGACTGCATTTTTATTCGTATAAGTTTGCTTTTGGCATTTTTTGTCTTTCCCAACTGTCCTTTGTGTACATGGGCTGTGCTTTGCCAGCTTTTATGTAGTATAGGTACAGAAGTATGTAGAACCTTTCAGAATTAAAGTGATTGTTGATAGAATTGGTGCACATATGTATTCAGTGACGCTGATGTTTGTTTTCCCCTATTTTTTCTTTTTTAATGTTTACCTGGTGTGATAGTGACCATGACTGGGGGTCTTGGAGTTCTCAGGGGCACAACTCATGATAATCCTTCCTATGCTGCTAGTTTGCTAAGTGGTTCCATCTGCTCTCAGAAGGAACTTATCAACAAGTGGCTGTTCAGGCTCCTAAAGATGATACATGAGGTGTCTGTGTGAGGTCCCTGTGATTGGATTTGAGTCGGAACTTTATGTGAGGTCTCCTCACAGGCTTTGCACATGAACTCTGTGGAGACTCTTGGGCAGCTTCTGCGTATGGGCAGGCACAGCTCTATGTAGCCTCTGTATGAGGTTTCTGGGCAAAGTCTGTGTGGGAGGTCTCTCTGTCAGGCCTCTGTGAGAAGTACACATCTGAAATGTCTTTGGTAGGTTCAGTGTCAGGGTCTGTATGGGAAAAGGATGTCCCTGGGAGGTCTCTGTGCCAGCACTTTGTGGAAGGTCTGTGTAGGAGTCTCTGCATGGTCTCACTTGAGGCAGCTCTTTGGGAATCCTTGTGCAAGGTCTTTGAGGGGCAACATGAGGACTCAGAGCTGTAGGAGTGTCCTGTGGGGACTCTATGGAGGTTTCAGTGCATAAAACACTTGTGTGGCAGTGAGAAGCCTCTATGCGCTGTCTCTGTAGGAGATCTCTCTGGGAGGTCCTTTGTGAGGTCTCTGGATGTCTTCACTCCTGGCTTTACTGCACCTTAAGGAGATGGAGCCATAGATGGACACTAAGATGTGCCCCTCCCAGTGTTTTCCCAGACCATCTGCTTAGCCAGCTATGGCACCTTTCCTGGCAGGAGCAGTGGGATCCGTGTCCAGCTCCTCCACATTCCAGAACATGCCTCATGGTGTCCTGAGAACAGAGCAGCAGCCAGGCATAGCCCCTCCTGAGATCAGGGTCCCCACTGTGTGCCACCTTCTTCTTAGTGCCCAAGGGACAGAGCCACTCCCTACTCCTGGGCTTAGTCCCTGCAGATCCTGGCTCCTCTCTTATAGCTGGGCCCATTCTGTAGGCTGATGTAAGAATCCAGGTCCCTGAGACAGGACCTGGATCCAGGGAAGCTGAAGGCACTTGCAGCCAGACTGGAGGTGCCAGGCCAGTCCCACATGTAGTGGGTAGGGTCCTTTCCCCTTGTCTGTTTCAGCCTTCATCTCTGGAATGGAGCTGTGCCTGTGGCTGCCCTGCGTGCCACACAGTACAGGAAATGCTCTGTGGAGAAATGGGTGCTCTTCTCCTTGCCTTTTGGGCCCCTCTGCTTTCCCATAAAGATAGGGAGGGAAACTGACTCTAGAAGCAGAGTCAGCTGATGAGAGACTCTTCCTGGACTACTCCTTGCCCCTGGCAATTTGCACAGGTCACTTCCAGCCTTCTGGTGTCTACAGTTTGTGTGACTGCCCCTTTCCCTGTGGTCTCCGGAGTAAGGAAGGCCTGGGACTTGCCACTTCTGAGCCCTCACAGGCAGAAACAGTCCGTGTTCTGTGTATATACCTTTATAAAGGTCACCCAGCTTCAAATCTTTTGTCATTTCCCTTGTCAGAGCTTTTTTCTTCAGGTATATACAGAAACACTTATTTTATGTATTTAATAAATTAACCTTTCCAGGTTGCTTTGCCCCCTCATGAGTCTGGCCTTCTGTGTGGGAGTGAATGGTGGTTTCTCAAGATCTGTGAGGTGTGATCTGAACAGTTGGGACCCTGGGGTGTGGCCAGAACATAGCATTGTTCCCTCAGGTCTGTGCTGTCTGCTGGTGGATGGCAGACCAGTCTCAGGTGTGCCTTGTTCCCAGTTCCATTCTCAGTGTCCTCATGCCCTGTTTCTTCTTCCTTGGCTCCCACCTTTTTTTTCTTTCCATTACCGGGATTCAAACTTGGGACCTTCAGCTTGTGAGGCAGGCAGCAGAACCACTGAGCTAACTCCCCAGTCCTATCCCCACCTTTTCAATGATTCTCCCACATCCTAACCTCAGTCCCCATGCTGATTATAAGTTTCTTGCATACAGTCACTTTCTGTTCTACCCACCCAGAACCGCTGTCTGGAGGTGAGATAAATGTGAGATAGACCAAGGTAGGCAACCCATGAGCAGGTCCATTGGTTACTTGGGGCCTCAGGGGAGGATGCAGTGGCCTCCCTTACCAGCACTGTCCTACCCAGACCCTTCCCGCCCCCCCACAGAGCTGGATTTTCTGTCCTTACCAGGGCTCTAGAGCATGAGGAGGGCTGAGGCCCTGGATGGAAACCCTGAACTTTCTGTAAAGGTTGTACCTATCTCCACCTTGGACTTTACCATGAAAAGAAGGGGCTTTATTTCCCACCAGAAGGCTGGAAGGATGTGACAGCATTTCCACTTTCCCCTACTTTGGAACTCGGAACCCGGCAAACTGTCACCGTTTTGATACAGGGGGAGCTACGTGTCTCTGACACTTGCTGGAGCCTGTGGGGGAATTTTCATCCTAAGAGTCTCTGGACCCCTGTAGGGGAGCAGTGGGAAGATGGGTTGAATCAGGTCTCATGGTGTGGAATCCCCTTCAATTTCCCTCCTCTGTTGGAATTTTATTTTGCTCCGGAACTGCTGGTTTTATGGAAACTTGAGGATCACTGGGGGAACTTGGAGTAGGCTTATGCTTGTACCTCTCTGTACACTTTACCACACTCCATCCCTTGTAGGCACCAGAACTCTCGCAAGCACAGAGCAGACAGGAGGCATTTCTATCTTAGGAGGAAATATAAGTGTATTGGGCTACAGTACTTACCATGGGTGGATGACATACCAACCAGTACACTTCACTAAAATAGCCACTGTCTGGGGCAGTGGTGACTGTGGCCCAAGACCCTGGGCACTGCTGCCCCATGCTTTGAGGGGCTGACAAGGAACACAGCCTGGCTAGACAGTCCCAGGTGGGGATGCTTATGACCCTGTTGTTCTCGGATGAGCTGTCCAGTTTTCAAAGACTCTAGGTGACTGGGGTGCTTTTTCCTGAAAGGACAGCTGTGGCATTTGTGAGTGGCTGCACATCCCAGCCTTCTGTGGTGCTCTGAGTGTCCACAAGGATGATGGCTGCAGGAAACCTGAGACCCTGAGGCTTGATTGAGGCTTGATCTTCTTCCTCTTTGTGCTTGTTTAATTCCAAGGCACAACGTTCGCACTTAACTAACTTGTTGCCTCCTGGCTTTCGCCTAGCATCTTGCATGAGCTGCTGAACTTCAGCAATTTTACAGTCCACTCGTGGGCTGCTTTTGGCTGGTCTTTGGGCAGGGGAGGATGCAGGCTTGCTGCTTCTCTGGGGTTTGTCCTGTCCTTTAATATTTTTCAAAGTAGAAATCCAAGGTAGGAATGTCCTCACGCTTCCTTGGAAGGTGCCTTCTGAAGAAACTGGTTTCTTTTGTGGAAGGACTTGGCAGCATTTCCATTTCCGGGTATCTTCCATTCCATGGTCCTGGGTGGGCATGGAGGTCTCAAGATATTTGAACTTTTCTGGGGCGAGTCTCCGACTGGTATCACCCTTGTCAGTCAGGGCAGACATCTTGCTTTCCCTCTTCTTTGAATGCTGATGTTCCAGGATCTTGGAATTCTGCTGACCTGGACTCCTCTCTGTGTCTGCCATTAGATCATAGACCATCTGTGAAGCCAGCATGTCCCCAAGAGACGTGCTGTGGAGATGGCCCTGGGATGCCATGCAAACCAAATTGTCTGTACCATGGAGAACATCAGTGGAGGAGTCTGGAACCTGGACGGCTTGGGTACAGACGTGAGACTGGCTCACTGACTTTACCTCCACTCTGTGCTGTAACTCACTCCTGATGTCTGCCTGAAGGCCTGGCTGTCCTCCGTCTTGGACCACACATGTTCCAGGCACCGCAGGGGTTTCTAGGCCACCTCTGCTGGCACCCAGGATGGTTCTGCTCTCACAGGTTGTGCTGGTGAGACAGGATGTGAGTTTCTGGGAAGCCCACCTGCTGCCCTCTCCAGCTTCAGGGAGCTTTAAGGTTCCCTGGGCCTCACCATGTGGGATCCCTGTCAGGGCCCTCTCAGTCTCCTTCCTCACAGGTGTGGACACAAATCTGCCCCGTGTGGGGACAGACTGATTGACTGTCACCTCCTCTCTCAGACATGCCTGAGGTGCCTTTTCCAGAACCGTGTCATCCTCAGTGGAATCACCATGAGACACACCTATGGCTAAAGGTGGGCAGGCAAATGGAGGAAGGGACAATGATGGATCCTTTTTCACCTTGAAGATGGTTATGACTCTAAGCATCTTGATGGGGAGGGCCCACTTGTGCCTCACCCAAAGCCTTGTTACATGCGCCTCCAGGGTCTTCTGAATGCTTGGGTTGAGGGAATGAAGCTTCTGGAAGGTGCTCACCCAGGTTTTCTGAGTCGTGGATGATTCTAGATTTCTGATGTCCATGTAGATGGGAAAATCTCCATTGACAGAAAGCCAGGACCTGCGCAATCTCAAAGGTATCAACCCTTCATGGATCTGCCTTGACTTTACACCCAAATGTGCTCTTAGCTTGCCTTCTGGGGGATTCTTGTCACTTCCTGCATCACCGTCTGTTGGAATTGTCATGTTTCTTTTTGACTGTGCAGAAGTCGTGCCTGGAAAGTCTACCAAGGCACATTCCCTGGCCCTGGAGAGGTCTTTGGGGACCTTGTCTAGAATCTGCCCCACATTCCTGCCTAAGTCCTTCTCTATCTGGAACTTCTCCTCCTTCCTATCCTTATCACAGCCAGCAGAAGACATAAAGGAGAAGCCTGAGGGGCCAGGTTTGTCCTTTGCCTGACCTGTATGAGCTAAGTCACTCTGAGGCCATGTGAGTTCGAGAGACTCTTGGATCTTTCAGGGCAAGTCCCACCGGCGTTGAATGAGTAACTTTTGAATGTGTTCCTCTAGTTGTTTCCAGTGCTCTGGGCTGATTGAAAAACCCTCAGGAAGGATGGCAGGAACCCGGTGGTCTTGACAGTTGGGAATAAAAGGATGGGAGCCCACCTGAGAGCTTTGGGGCACTGAGGATGAGGTCCACACACTCTCAGGCTGTGTTCTCAACAAGGGCCTTACAGTTACAGGATGTTGAGTCTCAGTTGGGATGAGTGGTCCTGGATTATTATGGGACGTAGAGCAAGATGCTCCACAGTCCCTACTGTTGGGTAGAGAATGTGGTAGGCGGGTTGGGGGAGAGGACTGGAGATGGGCCAGTGTCTGGACTTGACCCAGAGGTGGGGGCTGAAAATGGGTGGTGGACAGAATCAAGGGTGGGGACTGGGGGTCCAGAGCAGAGGCGGTGAGGGATGTGGGCGAGCACACAAAATCACAGGAGGTTTCAGGCGGGCCTGGTGATGGAGAGGAGACCCGAGGTGGAAGGTGCTGAGTGAGAGCAGAGGGGGCAGCCTCTGCCAGGGACAGAGCAGCAGGGTCTGCGTTCTCCCCATATGGCTGCGGGGCTGTGACAGGTGCTCTTGTGCACGCATCAGCAGGGCGGTGTTGGTATACGGGCTGTTGAGAGCTTCCTGGCTCAGGGAGCAGCCTCTCCAAGCTGAAACAATAGGAGGCACAGCTGCAGCCTGGGGCTGGGTGAGCTCAGGTGGGCCATGGCTCTTCCACTGCCCCATACCCTGAACTTTATAGTTTTATTGCTACTCCTCTCCCCAGGGTCTTAAGATCCCTCACTCCCAGGATCTGAACATCCCTCACTCCCAGGATCTCCCCCTCCCAGGTTAGACCAACGCTGCTTTGTGACATCACAAGCCTTGGCGGGAAGGAGAAAGAGGAAAGTTCTTTACCTTTTCAGAAGGGAAGTTAGGGTTTTATGGAACCTCCGAGAAGTCTGGCAGTCTGCAAAATGTGGGAAGTGGGAAACTGGGTTATAAAGGATGAGCGGTATACAGGGGGTTGGGATTTTACAGGTTGCTGAAGGGAATGTCCCCTTAGAGGACACCATAGGAGGTCAGGCCCCAGAGCCCAAGCATCAGCGTCCAGTGTCCTCTGGCCCTGGCTGACAGTGGTTTCTGGCTGACAGTGGTTTCATGGTACACAGATGGGCAGCGCTTTGTCAGTACAAATTGCTTCCACACCCTTCCAAACCCATGGTCCTCACACCTGTGTGTGTTGGACCCATTGGATGTGTTCATCTCAAAAAGAATCAGCCTCAGCCAGTTTTAACAGCTAGGCCTCAGTTGGTCCTGGAGGTCCCACCTCCAAGTCCAGCCTGTATTGTTGCACTGTTCCCTGCACTGCCAACTGGCCAGCACCTCCCTTGGCCCAGCACAGGTTCATTCTGAGCAGGGCGCCTGATAAGTGCGCACACACACACCCCACCCCCAGAGGATTGCTTTTCCAGGAACCCCTCTCTCAGGGCTCTTTGGCTGACATCTTTACATCCTTGGAGCCCTGGCAGTGGTCCCTCAGGGATGAGGAAGGCCATGTCACTTCTGGAACTGAAGAACTGAAAGGCAGAGTCTTACCTCTGACAGCGCCTGTCCTCTTCCTACTTTTCTTCCACCTCATCTGCACTGGATGCTGAGAAAGAAGAGAAATAGTGAGAGGCCCAGGCCTAATTCTCCTCCCCCTCAGATAGGCTGCAGACTGCCAGTATTTATGAATATCATGACGTTGAATTAATATAGAGCCTGTGTTCTTTCTTTCCTTTTACTCATTTGTAAAATGGATATAAAAATAGTTTTTGTTGTTGTCCTCCTAGATACACACAGAGGAGTATGTGTGAGATCCACCGTGG